AATCTAATACTAGTCTGTGCTCATTTTCAGGAATTATCTCAAAATCTCTCTTACCGTTGTTTGCTTGAACCAGGATCCAAACAAGATGCCGCACGGCCTGTGCCGGCATCTCCCGAGGCCCTGGTGGTAGAATATGTCCTCATTCCCCTTCGCCCACGACATTTATTTGTGGAAGAAACTGGGTCATTTGTTCCACTGATTTTGTGTTGGTCTCCTTTGATGTTGCCCAGTGGGGTTTCAGCGTTTTGGCTGTGGAGCCCCTGGGGGCCTTTTGTTGTCTTTATTCTGAAATACGTCATGTTTTTATGTAATTTTACCCGGTGGCTTTTCCAGATCTTACTTTCTCATTATTTGTTTTGGTAAATAGGAATGTGCTTGGTTTTTATGATTGAAGTTGTATGGCGCAACGTTACTAAGTTGTCGTAATGATTTTAATAATTGTATATTTGTTTGGATTTGACGCATACGTAATCACCTGAAAATAATGGTTGTTTTTCCCTTCCGTTTCTTATGCCTTTTATTTCTTTTACTACTGATTGTTCTGGTTGCGGACCCGGTACTTGCTGAGAAGTGGATTTAGCAAGTATCTTGTTTTAGTCTCAGTGGTAGAGTAATGCTTTTAGTGTTTATGGTTAAGTATAATGTTTCCTGTCGGTTATTCTTGGCGTGCATCCTCTATTACATTAAAGAAATTCATTTCTAATACAAGTTCGCTTAAGTTTTTAAAAAAATACAAATGGGATGTTGAATTTTATCAGTCTTTTTTTCCACATTTGTTGAGTCAATCATATAATTTTCCTCCTTTGATCTGTTCACGCGGTGAATTAAATTGACTTCTAATGTTAAATAAATCCACGTTGGTCATGCTGTATCATCCTGATTATATATTGCTGGATTTGGGTGGTCAGACTCTAGTTTGGATTTTTGTATTTATGTTCGTGAGTGAGACTGGGCTATGGTTTTCATTTCTTTGCTCTGACTTGGCAGGCTTGGGTATCGCAAGTTTAGGGAGCCCCGTGGAGTCAGCCAGGGAGCGGACCTTCTGAGACTTTGTGTGGAATTGGAACATCTTGTACCTTGCGTTTTGTGGAACT